TTTTCTCCTCGTGCAATCCATCTTTCTCTCCTATCGTTCTCATGCAGTCTTGAGACATGGCACCACTGATTTTCAATCGAATATGTCCACTACAGTAGCGTGCCACTATCCCGCCAAAAAGTGCATGGGAACGGAGTTGGAGGGGGGGGGGGAAGGGACGGAAGTAGTGATACCCGTCCACCTTCCGACTCCGCGCGCCCCTTCCTCTATGGGCAGCGCTTGTGTTGATCTCAAGATCCCGCAGCGAAACACCCTTCCAGCCGTAGAAAACAACCAGAAATGAGAGAGCGCAGGTAAGTAACTTGTTTGGCTAAGGTTAGGCATGAAGCTCGCAGTGCCATTGTAGGAGCATCTACCCACTGATTCCCATTAACATCAGTTTACAGATGCTTTTTTAGTAACCTGCGCTTCAAACATAGTCAATGACCACCACTTGGACACCCCTGCCAGAAACCGCATTACAACCAGGGCCAACCAGACCTTTATGTGTTTACAGACAAATAAATTAATTATGAGAACCCGTGATCTTGCGATTGTCGGTAAATTAGGGCCAGCGCGTGCACGAGATAACCCAGCCCAACATTCTCTAATTTTCCTCGTGCGACATCTTTTTTTTCGTTTTGTGAGCCCTCCCTTCTCCTTCATAATTAATAGACTGTCACGTTTAACTGTTCTAATATTTGCAGGCTTATAGTAAATCTGATGTACGAATAGTACATCAGAAGCTGGCTGAGCTAAGGAAAAAATGGATGGAAAAGCTGAAAAATGAAGAAACTGCTGCATCTCAGCTCCCTCAGAGGAGACCCAGCTTTGTGAGTTCTCCTCAATAATATTCACCTGTGAGAATATTCTCCTCAAATGAGAGCGGTAATGGTGTGGTCTGCTTGATGTGGACTGGGAACTTCTTTTCTTCTGCAGAGTCGCACAGGCTAGCTAATGGTCAACTTGGCTAGCAATAACCTGCGGTCCGCTTTCAAATTTCCTAACAGATTGCAAAAACTTGAAACAAAAGCTTCTGCGGTTGATCCATCGCCTTTTGAAATGCAACAAGTTCTCTACTTCAATTCAGAAAGAATGACCCTGCTGTTCCAGCAAATGTACAGAGTTGGACAAAATTACCAGTGTTGCTGAATTTTTTTCAGTTTTTTTTCTTCTCACTGGGAAGGTTTTTTTTGCAAAGGGTTGGGGTATCCAGCCTGAAATAATGAACACGCATGGAAGTAAAGTGGTTTTGACAAGCGAAATGGCATCATTGAACTGTAGAAAGGAAGGGTGAGACGGCGGGTAGAGCAATTCGTGATGTGTGAAATGGTGATGTCAGTACGAATGCCGCCTCCCTCCCCCTTCCCCAGCACCTACCTACCGATTTCCCACATTTTCAACTTCTTCATCCCAAACATTTTGCATGTCCGCAGTGCCAGGCAGGGCACATCAATGCTTGGGGATTTGATTCGAGTCCGTTACACCCCCCCCTTTTTTTTCGTGAGTTGGTACGACCCAATACGACCACCCTCCCTTTTACAACGTCCGTGAAGCGAGAAAAATCAACTATCAACACAAAAATTTTTCAGCCCAAATACGACCCTCCTCTCCCGGCAACCAATTCCCACGCGGAAATTCCTCTTGAAGCCCACCTACGATCCCCTCTCTCCACAACAATGATCAAATACAACCCCCCTCCCTCCTAAGCGCGAAAAGTACGACCCCCTAGGAGTTCCACACAATGATGCTGTACCCTGCGTGCAAATGCGTAGAATCCTCTTCAGCAAGCAGTGCAACCCGAACGCCGTTTCAAATGATCCCTTTATAGTACTCGAGCGTCTGAATAAATCAGAACAAGCTCCTATAATATGTTTGGTTTGATATATTCGGCTTGATTACATTAAGAAACCGATCACTAATTGGTGAGCCTACTTTTCCAGATGCCGCCAGAAGAACTTCCACAAGAGGCTAGCCCAACAGATCCCACCCCAACAGTACTTCCCATTCACGAAGTCAACAGAAACGCAAATCTCAGCGAGTTCATGTATCAGGCGGACATGGTTCTTACTGTGTAAGTCTCTGGTCACACAAACTATTGATGGCTTAGTTGTGATTCCTGCAATAATATAGAACTCAAGCGGAGCAACTTGGGAATGATGAAGAAGTTCGTGCGAAGCGCCAGGCCTACCGTGACGTTTTTTACCCAAGTACAATTTGGGGGAGAACTGTTAGCTACTTCTTTGATCCCACAGCAAGTGAGTCATGCAAGTGTACAATTTTCAAATTCGAATGTGGTAACATAAAGAGGCATTCAAATGAATTGGAAAACACTGAAGATCTGAAAAGGAATTCAAGAATTTTCGCGGATTATTTCTTTCTTCTGCTGTTGGTGCTTGTGATGAGCCTTGATGACTAGAGAGTGGATACGTTAAAGGCAAAGCCCGCGATGGAGCTGTCGTGCCAGGCCGTGAAATTTTTGCCAGCAAAGGCATTGGCTGAATCTGGAGACACCACGTTCAATGCATTCAATCCTCTTTCAGTCATTAGCTGTAACTATTGTTTAGCATGTTCATGTTCAGCTAATGATGTCAAAGCAGTGCTCATCGCGGCCGTGCAGTTCTGGCAGCAAAACACCTGCATTAAATTTGTTGAAGACAGTACAGGTCACTTTCAATCTTTCGTGTTTTTCACCGTTTAGAATTGTCCGCCTTGTTTTTTAGCGCTCAATAAGATACGAGTTTTCAAAGGAGATGGCTGTTACTCTTACGTTGGGAAAGTTGGAGGACAACAAGATCTGTCACTGGGAAGAGGATGTGAAAGCGTAAGCACACGATTCACTCGAGTGCATTGTGTTTCAAGGGTTTTGAGTATTACAGGTAGGAACAGCAGCACACGAAATGGGTCACGCTCTAGGATTCTTCCATTCCCAGTCCAGGGTTGACCGGGACAGTGCTATTAGCATTAATAGTAGCCAATATC